ATATTTTTATTATATACTGGTTTACTTAAACACATTATTCCTCTGAAGACTCTTGACCTAGTGGACCCGGAAGTGAGTGTGCTGGGTGAGAGAACCACACTTACTCTAAGGCCGCAAAATAAGGGATTTTCAGTAGCATTTCTTCTATAACTTTAAAAAACAAAAAGACTAAACCAACTTGATAATGAGAAAAATGGGGAGGGTCCTTAGAATCTGAATAGTTTTCAGTATCACCAAGTGCTATTATTAAATATGCACTATAAAATATTAAATATACATACACATAAAAATAAGCACTACAGATGTGGGCAGGAAAATTCTTAGCAAAACCCCCACATATTTCAAATACTGTCCTTCCTCATTATTGTCCTCTACCATAATTAGCATGTTACAGCATAACAGGTGGCTTTCATTTATAGAATGCAAAATTAATGAAATTTGGAGATGGCCTTGTCGCCAAAAAAACAAATTGTCCATTCTATAAAAAGTGACTACCCACCCCCATCTCCCTGGTCAATCTACCAAACCAGCAGAAACACGCAAAATAAATCCCCTTCATGCTGGCTTGCCGTATTATCTGAATTACTGAATGCATTTAGATAAACGAATCGAATGCATTTACCGACAGTTTGAAATTCCGATACCTCAAGGACAACAAGACATCATTATGGACAGTGTGGGAATGAAGTCTGCCCATTTTTCTAGCTTGGCAACTCAAGATCTATTTAATGTTCTCCAGTTGATAACAGGATTTACCACCATGGACCCGGCTGCTTCACCAATGCTGAATCTTTGGGAAATTTGCAGGCAGCTTTATTACAGGTCCTGACCCAGCCATTCTGGACAGACAGACCAAGGAAGCATAAATAGTAGTGCTATAAACTAACTATAGCATCTGTCTCTAGTAAGTAAGACTCAAAAAAATTTTTTAAAAAATATAATGAGGCTGTCAACACACAGAGGAATGCTTCATATATTCACATAAACAAGATATGTGCCTTAACGAGTCCGGCACAGCTTAAATTTAGTGAGCAGAGAGGGAAGGGGTCCGACAGCAGACACAGCTTTCCAGCTATGCACAATGAGATCATGTGAGAGCTGAAATGTTGCTTCCAAAGCCCCACTACCCTTTCATCTACCAAGAAAAAGTCAATGTATGAATTTAGTATGGGAAAAACTATGATCTGCAAAAATAATCTGATTTTTTACACTAGGAAAATAAAGCTTTCTCATATTAAGACATGTATCTTCAGAGCAGTGATGACAAAAAAAGGCAAAATTTTTTTTTAATCCAACATAATCCAAATCACCTCCTTCAGCTTACTGCTGCTTAATCATTTTTTAAAAAAACTCTACCCACCCAAAAGGTATCCCACCTCTGCAAGCTGTTCCTGAGGTAAGACCTTTAAAACTCAGGCTAGATCAAGTAGTCTTTTATATATTCAAACATCCAAGGAGAAATAAGGTTCCAGGCTGGAGGAGAGATGGATAAGAGCTCAGTGCCTACCTAGCTGTCCCTGCACGTGGACACACACACAAACACATTTCAGTGCTACAGACACAATCACAATGACTTTACTCTCTCTTTAAGAAAAGGAAACATTAGAAGCTAGCACCAGACAGAGAGGTTAGACCAGAAGAGAACAAGGAGAAATGAAGTCCATGTAAACAGTAAGCACATACCTGCCGGGAGATGCCATTTCCTCTACATCTTAGAGCCCCCGCGCTGGCTATTAGCATTATTGCTACTATAAAGCTTCGGATAAAAATGGCTCGTCTCTTGCTGACCTGAGAACCAGCTGGCTGCTTGAGAAGTGGTTTCCCCCATATATGATTCAGTCTCCTTGACAAATATACTGCATTGTACTGGATGAGTCATCCAGGGTTCGTCCGCATTTTATAGGCCTGTTGTGTCATTACTCACATTCAACATCCTGCTTCTCAAAAGTGGAAGCTGGAAGCCTGACAGCTGACGGATGCTTTTTCCAATTAAAATATTGTTGTTGTCTTTTTTAAAAAAACCCTCTAAGTTCTGGTTATCAATTGCTGAGGATACTGTGAAATGCCCAGGAAGCCATCCCAGGCAGCAGAAACACACGTGCAAATCTCCACTTGTTCCCACCCCCAAACCAGACACTTCTGTTCACGGTGGAAAGCAAAGAGCCCTGTTAGGAGCTCTCACTTGAATTAACACAAGCTCAGACCTTGTTGGTTCTTACAGTAAAGTTACCGACAGCAGCAGAACTACATAAAAAGTACTCAGTAAAATGCTGGTCCCTGGGTATCTGATGACACCAGGGAATAGTCCCTTGCTATGGATTAATAATTTAATTTTGTGACATGGGAGAGCAGTATTTTGTAAAAATAAAAAGATCTGCTTTTTTAGATAGACATACTGAAGTATCTGTAGTTAGAAAATATCTTGGCCAAAGAAGATCTCAATGATTTCAAAGATCTCAATGATGATTGCTTCTGTGTGGAGAGCATATAAGGGTTTACTCTATCATTCTCTCTCATACCCAATCAAGGCATTTTTTTCAGATTAGGTATGAATCTACCTAAAAAGAAGTGTTTTAGGGAGCCCTGGTGTAGGCCCTCTCCGGCAGTCAAATGTAGCAGCCAACCTGGATTAAGAGAGATGGAGACTCTCCTATCCTCAGATCTGGCCAACCTGTGGAGGGTCAGCTATGATGGTTCCACTCACGGCAATGAGTGAGAAAGAACTAGATGGGTGGAGGCTGGGATTCTGGGCCACGTGACTGCGGATGGAGACAAGTCACCATTCACTCAGCTCCCTGTGGGTGCCTGGGCTGGAGTCAGATGTGCATGCCCAGAGGCCATTGTGAGGGCCCTGTGTCAACCCTCTTGACAATGCCTCTGCTCTACCTCTGGGACAGTGTGGCAGTGGCTGTTTCCTACGCTCTCCTTGAGGACACAAACCTTGGCCTCATTCATGAGCTCAGTGTTGATACCAGGAAGGAGAGGTGCCTAGTTCAGCTTCCTTTTATGGCTCTGGAAACATTCCACGAGAGGTTACATAAGCCACCATCCAGAGTCCCCTCACACCAAGTCTCTCTGTAAGGTGGCCTAGGGTTTGCTCAACTCACTTCAGGCTCAGACAGGGTTACTTAATCTCAAAATTAAGTAACTTTGATTTCATGGCCCAAACATACTGATAAGGAAGCTCCAACATACTTCCCATGAATCGCTGTTTACACTAGCTAAAATGTGAAAAACTGTCTGTATCGATGTATTGAGAACGTGTGACAGTCACCACAGGAAACACAAAAAACCAGAAGTCTTACCAAGCCAAGACCCGCAGCACTGC